GACGCGCAAAACGGGTTGTCCTGAGAGGGGGTCGGGGATGAGGGTTGTTCCAAAGATGATTCAGGCTGGCGACAGACACAGACTCCATCCCACAGCGGCCTTCACTGTGAGACGAGTTGCTGGTTTGCTGTCCTTCCCGAGTTACGGGTTTACATCGGGAGGACAAGGACAGCCTCTTCCCGGCCGATCTGTCTCCCGGGCTTCCTGGAACAAAGCCCCAAGTTCAACACAGTTCAGAGAGTGGAAGTCTAAGACGTTTTCTGGGAACCAGGAAGTAAAACTTAATGACGCAAAGACAGCGTGGGAGCCGCGTGTGCTTCACAAGGGGTGACACGGGATTCACGAGGACCAGGGACATTCGGGACGTTCTGAGGCTTATCCACGAGACAGCGTCAGGGGCTGCCCGAGCGCATGACTCGGGCACTCAGGAATCACATCATGAGCCAGACGGCACGGCAAGGTCCATGGGAAAGGCTGGTAGAGGAGCCGCGAGAGTTTGGGCGCCTCTGAATCATCTTTTAGGTCCATTACTCGTCAAATGAGGCATCTATTACACTATACAATAAATACCATTCTACAATGTGCTGTGTTTGCTTTTCCAGACGTTCTATTCCGTATTTTGCTGTGCGTTCCCTGTTTTGGCTTTGAAACTTTTTTTTTTTCCTTGAAGTTGGGTTCTAGGTCACCTCTTTTTCCATTACGTCACAAACACGTTTTCCACTTGCAAGCCTCAAGAAATCTCAGCCTCATGGGGACCGCCGGCTCCGCAGGGCTGCCCCCAAGGCCCTTTCCCCCCCACTGTTTGTTCTGCCAGGGTCTTGTTTTCCTTCCGAATGGCCCCCGTTTCCCTCGCAGCTGTGTCGTAATGTTTACCGAGCAAACACGGCAGCGGGGAGCCTCCTCCCTGGGCAGTATGTGACAGGATAACGCAGGGACTTTGTTTGGCCGACAGCGCAGGCGCACGGTGGCCGGCTCGGGCCCAGCCTCGGCGCACGCTGCCGGGGGAGGAGAAGGGGCTGAATTTCCCGTGTTTATTTCTCAGAGGGACGGAGCTGTGGGACACGGCGCCGTGCTGACGCGGCGGCTG